GAGTTGTCAGAGAAATTATGGGCCACCTGTCACCGTGGGAGCTCGGCAGGTGGAGGTGTGTGAACAAAGAAATGGAAATCCATAATAGACGACAGCGCCGACGCTTTACCTCCCTGTTCTTCGGGACAGTGGCGGACCCAAAAATTTTTCATAGGGGTGTCCTCTTTTAAAAAATTAACTAAATAAAAATAATTAATAAAAATAAAATTGTAAATATGAAAATACCTTACTCGTACAGGTTAAAAAATCCATGATGTGTTTTCATATTCGAAATTAATTGTAGAATACACTTGGTGTTTATAGTGTTAAAAAAATTGTCTCTATATACACTACTAGACAATCATTCACGAACTTATCGCATATTCGATTTGTAAACTTGTTCTTGATATAACCCAAAGTTGAAAGACTCTTTCAACACTTGCCGTACAATCATAAAATCCATACAAATTAAGGGTAGTTTGAAATTAGTTTAATTGTTAGGGTTTTAAAATAATTAGAGATAGGGAATGCCATTTTACTATTACACATTATTCAAAATCGAACAACAAATGAGTTTAGCTCAACGAAAATTAAGTTTATTAATAATAATAGTACTCTAGATTTGAATTATCCAACCTACCACTTATATTCCTATACACAAATGACAGTAGGATAATCATTTTTTCAAATTTAAGGGGTGTCCCTCACTATCAATTATATTTTTTTTGTCCATACATAAATTACTACCGGGGGTTGGATAATCGTTTTCTCAAAATTTAGGGGTGTCCCCACCCTGGATCCGCCCCTGCTTCGGGAGGTGTAGGCGACCAACCGCTTTTCGGTTCAAGCCGGGCAGTTTTGGTCCCGGTCGGAGACCTTTAAATTTTACCTACGACGATTGTTCTTCCTCATTGCCTCCCTGCTTTGCATACCCCGTCATCATGGGTTCTTACCACGGCTTGCTCTGCATATGCAAATGCAACTATTCTGACAAACTCCTCCTGTTCAATCCAGCTTTTCCGGAGGAGACGCGACTAGTGACACTTTTGGACTTCTTGATGGCCGAACCATTAGTGGGCCACCTGTTCAAGAGCCACTCTAAGCAATATCCCTTGTTTAGGTTACAAGTTCGGGTACGATAAGGTGGCTTGCGACTAGAAGGTCGTTGTATTGGTATCGCTACATAATTTCGAATTCTACGTTCTAACTTACCGCTTCGGTACTGATTCTATTAGCTTTTTGCCCGCCAATAAGTTCTGTCACATATTACCATATCAGAGGGTGGGCGATGGTGATCCCGTTATTGCAACATGTTTCAAGTTCAACTATGAAACTCTCGTGTCCAAATTTGAGTATTGCGAGTCCGATCTCTTTGGGGAAAGAGTGAATATGTAGAAGTGCGATAATGATCCCGTTATTCTATTCGATGATCAGCATTAATATCATAGTAAAGAATCATATGAAAAAGTAAAAGTTGAGATATTCTGAGAAATTATGCATATTAGCATTAGCATTCTACCCTTTGAGAAATTTAATCAAATTGTTTGGAGTAAGAACTCTTTTGTTTTGTGAATTGGATTGGACATATATGTGGCCATGCTCAGGGATAATTAATGTGGTAAACAGATACGGTGTTTCGACCAAACACTGCTAATCCCCATCCACAAAGAAACAAAATTTGTATTCCCCAAAAATTGTTTAGTACCATTCAACGAAAAAAAAAAAATTGTTTAGTACCAGAGGACACGTATGCACAAATTGGGAGAGAGAGCCACTGTAAGGGAAAACCCCTACATAGTTTAGGGAGAAAGTTGTTCAATGTTTGGTCACATAGAAGATCCAAATTGGCCTCCAAGGTGTAAATGCAGCAAGACAACATTTAGGAAAAGTTTTAATGTAGCAAATGATGAGTCAGACAACTAACACTGCTTTCCACACTTGGGTGCTTGTGTTATCATCGTTTCCTTTTTCTATTAGAATGCAACTTCTAAGCAAACTCAATACTCTTTACTTAGTTTCTTTACCCTAAATTAAACAATCAAATTTAATTTATATATTTAATTATTAATTACAAAGGTAATTAATTTCGTATTCGATAATACCGATTGGGATACCGAAATATTTAGGGATTGGGATTGAGATACTGAAATTATTTACGGATTGAGATTGTGATTGACTTTAGGGTATAAATTGGTATTTGAGATTTGGTATTGGGATACCGATACCGTACCGATTTCCACCCCTAGTGGTAAAGTATGGTAATTTTTTGTCCAATATTTTTTTTTCTCCCAGAAATTTGTAGATCCAATAGATCATGATGAACTCGTTCCTTCTCAGCAAACGTTTTCAAAAATGACTTAAAAACGAAAAACGAAAAAATGTTTCTCGAAATATATTGAAAATTGATCTCATTTTGTAGAGCACAACGAACTAGTTCCATCTGTGCATAAAAAATTGAAATCCGAGTTAGAACGAAGAAGATAAGAGCCGATTAAGAAAACTAGCGAAAATAAATGCTTTTAATTGACAACCCTTAGATCTAGATTTTTTGGGCACACTTAGATCTAAAGGTCCAGATTTAGTTACTCACAGATCAGTAACCAATGATTACTGACTCTATCCTAAGCCTAACCAAAGGACACGTAATGCACACATTGGGTGAGAGAGCTACTGTAGGGGAAAACCCCTACATAGTTTAGGGAGGAAGTTGGGGAGCGGTTACGGTGATTACTACAAAGTAGTAATCACCATGGTTACTAAGGTAAATTGGGTATGAAAAAATAAATTGTATTAATTATTTTTTTTAATAACTAATATTTTAGGTAGTTCCAAAAATCTATTAATTACAATTATCTATCTTTCTCTCACTTCTGTAATCTCCAAACAAATTTTCTTTCCTTATCTTTCTCCATCTTTCTGCAAAAGAAAAAAACACGAAATCACTACCAATCCATTAGACAACCACTACCATTTTGAAAAATCAATATCATTGCAGACAAAAATCTATACTATTACACGAAAACTACCAATATAAACAATCTATACCATTACAAAAGTCAAACAAATACCAAGCAACCACTGGAAAAATAAAACTACAAATCAATATCAATCCATTGGACAACCACTACCACTTTGAAAAACACCAATACCATTTCAGAAATAAATCAATACCATTATAGAAAATAATAATACCACTACTAATGTGAAATCAAACCAATACCATTATAGAAATAAATCAATACCATTATGAAAAATAAACTATGCGTAACATTTCATATAAACCAAAGCAAATGAACGACTACAATTCTCATTTGGGCTTTCTTCTTCTTCTGATGTTGGGCAAAGGAGTAACCTTACCCAACCGTCTCCATCTCCAGACAGAGAGAGAGAGAGAGAGTTCTACTTGGCTGGCGGTGCCTTCTTCCAAATCTCCCAATTTTTCTGATCTTCCTTTTCCACCATGGAATTGGAGTCGAATTTAGCGGTGAAGGCAAAGGGAGAGGCGACGGCGACGGAACATGGCAGGGAGAGGGAGAGAGGTGGGAGCCGAGAGAGAAATGGGGATTTGGGAGCGTCGACGGGTGTGAAGACGGGGAAGAAACTGCCGACGGAGAATAGGGTTTTGATATAATAAATATATAGAAATTTATTTTGTTAAGGATAGTTATCAGGTATGGTATAATTTTTGTTGCAAAATTATCTTTAATCTAATCATGATCGTCTATCTAAAAATGAGATGAAATAGAGTTAATGAAGTGTATGGATTTTGGTAGCCACGGTAACTACTAAAAAATTAGTAATCACCCTAACTATCGTGCGTATAAAATAACTCAGATGCAGGTGCGTATGAATACTGAAAGAGTAAGGAAGTTATACGGGAAAAGACTCCTTGGTATGAAAGCTGGTAATGAATTTCACTCTGTATCGAGATGGTATACCCCAGTGGATCTATATGTGCCCTAACCATCTATCTTAAAATGGAAATTCTGGATTGTCTGATCGAGAATAGGAATCTGAATGCCTTCGCGCTTAAGAGTGAGAAACAAGGGCTTTATCTTACCCGGAGAACATAGGATATTCTCAACCCCTATCCTATAACGTTAGCTCAGCTGGTATAGATAGAATCATCACATTACGGTACTTTGATCTTTCAAAGTTGTAAGTCAACGTGTCTGTACTCGGAGGAGACTGTGTAACGACCGTTCAATGTTTGGTCATACAGGTACTTAGGAAGATCCAAATTGGGCTCAAAGGTGTAAATGCTGCGGGACAACATTTAGGCAAGTTTTAGTGTAGCAAATGATATGCTGGCAGGTGATGAGGCAGGCAACTAACACTATTTTCCACACTTGGGTGCTTGCGTTTTCATCATTTATTTTTTCGTGTTAGGATGTAACTTCGAGGTATATGCATGAATAAATTTTCTTTGATTTGATCTTAATTGAAATCATACAAAATTCAGATTTAGTTAAGTGTCACATAATCATTCTCAAGTCTCAATTGAATGGAATAAAGGAAGTGATGATCACCCGCAGAATTTTCTAACTTTTACGGTAGTTAAATACAATACAAGAGAAGTACTCGGAGTCTAAACGACATATTTTTATTATATGAGTAGAACTTGGGTAATGTCTGACCGTCCATGTGTGGACCAAGTGCATAACAACAAATGAGCCGGACTATTTGACCAATTTCAATAAATCCATGTCACAAACACAAACCGGTTCGGACCATGCACAATTTCCCAGTAAAAATAATCACACCACCTCATAAGTTAATTTTCATGAAGCAACAATTATTATCCCCTGCCATTGATTTATTCTGTTTACAGTAAATTACAGCCGATGAAGTAATTAATAGATGAAGCAGAAGTCAGCTTTGTCTCCTATTGAGTTGGGATTGTTAAGAATACATTCACACCCAAATATGGGTATTGAAATTGACCAATCTGTCGTGGAAACACATCTTATTTTAGGCTGCAGGTTACCCAACGTGGAAACTCGACAATGTACTACTAATAATCAGCGATCCGCCATGTCCACTGCTGCCTCAAATACTGTTCGAGCTTCATTCACTTGATTAATATTAACAAAGATACCAATAAGACATTGACCAGTCTTGCACATGGCAGACAATGCAATAGCAAAAGTGAACTCATGGGACGAACTCCTTTCGTTCCACAACAGCCCAAAACATTTCACGACCGAGTACGAGGATGCCCTTTTCGAATACAGCGAGACTCTGTGAGTGAGAGGCGGTTGTTTTGGACTGCGGGGAAGAGCTAATAAGGCGAGTTCGTGGAGATAGTTGCGAGCTTGTAACTTGTAAGGCCGGGGACAGCGATGCATTCACTCGTCGCCGACGGTGAAGAAATGATGGGAAAAAAAGAATTTCCGCTGCCGGGATTCGAACCCGGCCCCGGGGACTCTTTTGGAGAAGTCACCGGGTTCGCACCCCAGAGTTCATCTTAATTTTTCAATGCTACAGCGGATTGTTGATATTATTCCGCGTCATAACTTTTTATGCAGCTGCCTCCTGCCTCATCACTTTATCCAACATGTTTGATTTGATTAGGGTGGGTATAGTAGACGGGACGGGCGGACATGCGTACTTTTCTCAACCTGAATTGTTCAATTGTCGGCCCGTTTTTGTTTAAATTTCATGTAATTTTACTTGAATTACTTTGAATTTTAACTATAATTATATTATAAATGGGTGCGAACCTTAACTCCTCGAACCCGACTACTTAGGCTTAGCAAGCTAAACCTTGCTTGGCCCACAAGTAATAACCAACACAATCCTAAGACAACAACGCACTTATTGAAACATGTTTCAACCATATGAAACTCTCGTGTCTAGATTTGAGCGTTGCCGGTCCAATCTCTTCACAGAAAGAGCATATTTGTGAAAGGCAGAGGTGACCTCGTCACTTAAACTTGGACTATCAACATAGAGTAACATAATAAAAATGCGAAAAATAGAGTAGAGATATATTACGTGAGAAATTATACATATTAGCATTAGTATTCTTCTCTAGGGATCGTTTGGATAGATCAATTGAAAAACGAGACAATTTGATTAATGATCTTATTTCACAAAACGAGTAATTTAAAATGAGTCAAAATGGATCAACTTGGCCAGATAGTCGCAAAATAAAACAATTGGATCAAATTGATCAATTAGTATTCCTCACCCAAACGACCTCTAGAGAAATTTAATAAAATTGGTTGGAGTTGGAATTCACTTGTTTTGTTAATTGGATTTGGCCATATTTGTTGTGGACATGCCAAAATATTGTCTATCTAATAGTGTTTTCATGTCAAGGGTCATGTGTTAACGCAAATTTGCAAGTAAAGCGACACATTGTTAGCTAACTTGTTTATAATAAAAAGGCATAGTTGTAGGGGGAGGGATTATTCAATATTTGGTCATGTAGGTACTTAGGAAGATCCAAATTGGCCTCAAAGCTGTAAATGCAGAAGGACAGTGTTTAGGCAAGTTCTAATGTAGCAAATGATATGCTGGCAAATGATGAGACAAGCAACTAATATGGTTCTTCACACTTAGATGCTTGTGTTTTCATCGTTCTGTTTCTGTGATAGGATACAACTTCGAGGTATATGCATGACGAAATTTTATTTGATTTAATCTCAAGTGAAATTATAGAAAATTCAAATTCAGGTATGCATCACATAAACACAGCTCAATCAAATGAAAACTATATTTGAGATGATGGACTATGATAAGAAAAAAAAATGATCACCTATAAAATGTTGAAATCTTGCTTGCAAACTATGAACTTCGTCATATAGTATTGATCTATCTATCGTGTGTGTGTTTTTCTTGTATGGATCTACATGGAGACACATCTTGTCGGTCATCATCCGACGCTCACTCCGATTTAGAGGGTTGTCGGCGCAGGGCGGGGACGGCGTGTACAAGGAGCCAACTTGAAAAACCTGAAACCTTTGCACCATCATTTTATTATTTTATTTTTCAAAAAAATTTGCAACAAAAATTCATTATTTGAATATGACGTGACGGTCTGATGGCATGACGTAGCAAGATGGATTGATGTGGGAGCTGACAAGAATAGTGGCCTTGTAGAAAAGTATGTCGTGAGGGTTGTCGGGATCCGAACCCGGCCCACGGGACCCCTTTTCAGAAGCCACCAGGTTCGCAACCCAGAGTTCTTGTTTGTTTTAACGATACAGCGGATTGGTGAAACATTTTCGCATTTTATGGTATATAGTAGAAAATTTTACTTGCATGTGATAATAATAATTAATTTCCAAAAAAAATACACAAAACTATCATATTTATCCAAAATTTTATCGAAGTTATTTTAGATGCTGATTGGAACTAATGTATTTGCTAATTTGGCGACAGTTAATAGAAGAAAAAAACATTGCTAGGTAGAATTAACTAAATTCACTTGTAATAACTATAAAATAAAACAAAATGAAATGGAAGGATCATCCACCTTCACTTACAAATAAGATATACCCACAATTAGAATTGAAAGTTTAGTGTCGAAGTTTGGGATATATCGAATACCGTATCGAATTTATCAATGTTTGGTATTATCGAATACAAATTTATTTTTATGGATTTTGATTGGAATTGTGATTCATTTGGAGGTTATTTGGTGTTCGGGATTACGTGATTGAGATTCGTATATACCGAAATATCGAGAAACAAAACAAATTAAAATTTAATTAAATATAATACACATACTTGGGTTAGTCCTCACTATTTGACAACTCACAATCTCCCAATCCAACCCAATTTTGGTTTTGCAATTTAAGCCACTCTCGTCACACACGCAATCTCTTGATATTTGCATGACACCAAAAAATAGACAATCTCATTAGTCATCTATCAACCTCCAATCCATCGAATTAAAGATTGCAAATGACAAGACATTTCGGTATCACCATCTCCTCACTTCCTCCTTATCTGTGTCCTAGTTCAGGACGAGTTCAAAAACCTTTACCTAGCCTTTTTGTGCTAAATGGGAACCTATAATGAATCAGTTCAATGGAGACTTGATTGAATCCAATCAATAAGGACTTTGATTAGTTTTTATTAGACTTCGCTCATTTCAAATTATCATAACCAAAATTTTCAATCATAAATTTATATATATATATATATATATATATGGAAACGAATCGTATGCGTCAGACACATAATATGCGACAGGATTCTCTACCGTAGATCTAATATAACGGTCATTATAAATTATATTAAAATTAGTAATAATAATTACTACTTTCACCCCTTAAATAATTATATGTGCTATATAGCCCCCCAATAATAATTTGCGTTTTATTTTCTCACATGATACCTATTCGTTTTTGTGAGAACTCAGATGATACCTTATTTCTTCTAGATCTTTTAATGAACACCCAAAAATTATACAATTGATAAAATAAAGTTCCATTAAAAGGTTGCCCCAATTCGACAATCCTAAACCACCATCATCGTCATTACGATTTTTCTAGATACCCCAATTGCAAACCCCTAATTTTACCATCATCATCATCGTCCCTGCTTCTGATATACATCGACTTTGGCTCATCATCATCTGTTTTTAAGGTCGCAGATGATATCTACCCTTTCGAGATGAATCCGAATCAAATGACAGTGAAAGACTATGACCTTTACGTCCTGTAAACAATGACTAAGGCTGAAATGGAGAGAGGGGATTGGGTCTCGTCAAGGGAATTCTCTTGGTCGGAGTCCAGAATCGTAACGGAGTGAGAAAGTTTGGACGATGAAGAGAGACAGCCGTCGGATTACGATGGTGACGGCGGCAACTGGATAATTGGGAATTTGGGGGTCTAGGGAAGACAACGATACATGAAAGGGAATTCTCTTGGTCGGAGTCCAGAATCGTAACGGAGTGAGAAAGTTTGGACGATGAAGAGAGACGGCCGTCGGATTACGGTGGTGACGGCGGCAACTGGATAATTGGGAATTTGGGGGGCTAGGGAAGACGACGATACATGAAAGTGAATTCTCTTGGTCGGAGTCCAGAATCGTAACGGAGTGAGAAAGTTTGGACGATGAAGAGAGACGGCCGTCGGATTACGGTGGTGACGGCGGCAACTGGATAATTGGGAATTTGGGGGGCTAGGGAAGACGACGATACATGAAAGTGAATTCTCTTGGTCGGAGTCCAGAATCGTAACGGAGTGAGAAAGTTTGGACGATGAAGAGAGACGGCCGTCGGATTACGGTGGTGACGGCGGCAACTGGATAATTGGGAATTTGGGGGGCTAGGGAAGACGACGATACATGAAAAAACGGCATCATTTTGTGCTCGTCTCTGAATCGAAAGTGGCCTTGAGAACAGCGTCGTTCTATAGGTGTAGCTGAAAACAAAAAACAAAAATTGTAATGGTATGAGGGTCGAACCAGCGTCCTGGTCATTACCATGGGTATTCTTCACCATTCATGCTGAACAAGGATTTTGATTCAATATACTTCCACTGTTATATTTATAACTATAAAATGAGTTCTTGTAAAATTAAAACACAAAACTAAACTAAGCAGGCCTTTTGTACCAGGCCCAATAGGGCTTAGTCGAGCAGATCGGCGGCTGCCCCTGCCCTCCCTTTGTCTCTTTAACAATACTCAATTGTAAAAAATAAAATAAAACAGATAACAATAATGGCAAAGTTGAAAATTGGAAGACTACTTACCTACCAAATCTAGCAAACGATTTATCTTCTGCTTTTTCTCCCCTCCCCATGCGCTGCCTTCTCGGTTTTCCTTCAAACTGATCAGACACATACTCAACCGCCCTCATCCTCCCTCCGCCGCCGTTGCATGTCTCCGACTCCGCCCGTCAAGCAACCGTTGGTCGCTCAGTAGCGGTCTCCTCCTCCGGGCCACCATCGTCGCCTGCCACCTCCGCCGCTGATTCGCTGTAGCGGTTGTGGGAAGAAGAGCGGAGGAAAGTCGCCCGGACTAACCACGTCGGTTGTGTGAAGAAGAGCGGGCCACCATCGTCGCTTGCCACCTCCGCCGCTGACTCGTTCCCGATCTGCTCGACTAACCACGCGGTGTCGCCGGCCACGTTTCCACCGCCGCAGGTACTTTTCTTTAATTGATTGTTAACTATTTGGTACGTTCTATTAGAATAGTTGATCATAATGTGTTCTTATACTCCTATTGAACATCCACAGTATGTGCAAGAATAGAAATTGAGTAGGGTTTCCGTGCTGTAATTTTCTGACAATGGATGATATATCGCAATGGTACCCGTATGTATTGTTTACCAACTAATCGTTACGACAGTCTACTCCACTTCCTTTTCCTATTGTCAGCCATTACTAAC